TTTTTTTTTTTTTTTTTTTTTTTTTTTTTTTTTTTTTTTTTAAATATCTTGTAATTGAGTGTTTAATTTGATGTTTGGATGTTTTTCGTGGGTGTTAATGGAAAAGATGGACCGTCTTCTTTTATGTGTGAATTTATGTCTACTTAGATACTGTGCTTTCTGTCCCATAAATCACTTTTTTTTTTTTTTAATATATTGATCGTTTTTAAATCTACAAATAAAATAAGTTAAATTACTAACTAGACATTTTTTTAGATATTTTTTTAAAAAAATTTAAAACTAAATAACTTATAATATAACTTTATTTAAATTTTATTTTAGATAATGTTTATTTGTGGATTAAAAATGAAAACATAGATTCATAGTTATAACATAAGTTTTCCTTTAAGTTAACATCAAATTTCACGAAAGGAATCTTTTTTAGACTATAATGATATTTTAGTCTAAAAAATTTAGGATTTTTAATTGGTACACTTTCAAATGTCTAGATTTTGTTTTTTAATTACAATAAATCTTACATTTAGTTATTCTTAGTTATTCTAAGTTAATCTTATTGTATAACAAACTATACTAATAAAAAAGTATATTAGAAGTAAAATAAAAAATTTAATGACTTATTAAATACAAAATTTAGATTTAAATAACTATTTTACATTTTTTTTTTTAAGTTGATGTAGTTATTGAACATAAAATTAAAAATAAATTTTTTTATTAAATACCTTAAAAAAAATTGAGAGATGAGGAGGAAAATAAAAGTTAGAGAATAAAATTTATAATTTAATTAAATTACTTTTGTTAATATAGTCAAGTCAACTAAGGACATTTTTAGTTTATTAAAGAAAAAAATCATTTATCACGTAAAATAAACATTTCCGATGACGATGACGTGGCCTACTGCTGCCATAGCGCCATGTCATTTGCGCGGGATAAACGAATAAACAATATAAAAGCGAAGACCACTCTTTTATTTATATTTTAATTTATTGCATATTGCATTCTCCAGATTTGACCTCCTTCCCTTCGTTTTATTTTTCCAAATCTTAGACGAGTAAAAGGGAAACCGAGAGAAAAATCCACGTCCGCCCTTGTCATCTGTCGCTCCATGGTGCCCTTTTCTCCAAATTGATCAGGTATATTCATTATTTCTCTTCTTTTGAATCTCTGTCAGTTTACATTTCCTCGGGCATTTTCATTACGTGTATACGGCGGTGCAAGATTTGAGCTGGTTTCAGGTAACCCTAGGGTCACTCAGGTTTTAGATCGGTTAGCTGTGTTAGTCTTCACGGTACTAGTTCAGTTTGAAAATTAGTGATGTGCGATTGATTCAATCAATACGATACCATGCAGAATTTTGGGTTATTTGATTCGTGAGGATTGGATTTCTGATTGCGTTTGGCGTTTGAGCTTCTTATTATTATGTTTCCTACAAGTATAATGACAAGTTGAGTTATGGCTGTCTGGATGAATAATATTCACTGCTTCACCTGTTTCTTCGGGCCATATGAACACTTGATTTTTGCCCTTTAAGTACGCTTTTTCAAAAGTTTTAACTGGAGATATCTATGTGCTTTTCTAACAGGGTTCACTTTTTCCAAAAATCATTTACTGGTGAACTCGGATAAAATGGACAATGCAGGATTGTGAATTATTGACTAACATGAAGCAAGTGTGGACTTCCAATTGATGTTCAAATTTTTAGTTAAAAGCTAGATTCAGGTGGGGATAATAATGGAGTCGACGTTTTTAAGTATAGTGAAATCTACATTAGACTGGGTAACCTTGATTCTCGATGCTCCTTCTGCTCGAGCAGTTATCTTTGGTGTGCATATTGGAGGTACCATAGCTCTACAAAGAATTTGGTTCATATTCGTTTTCTATATTTCAACCGTTAGGTGAATTATGTGTTTCTTGCCTCTTTCTTGAAGGACATTTGTTTGTGGAGGTTCTCCTTTTGGTGGTCATCATTTTTTTGCTTTCCCAGAAGAGTTACAAGCCCCCCAAGAGGCCTCTAACAAAGAAGGTATTTCAATTGTTCTGATTTACTGATTGTTTTTTGCATTCCAATTTTCAAATGTTAATAGTTACTCTGAGATGACTCCTATATGGCAGTCTGAATAAAGTAGCTGGATGACAGCTGATCTTGTTTTGTAGAGAATAGATGTTATGCTGGCAGTGTTGGATCTGCGATTTGGGTTCAAGAGGGGCACATATCGATAATGATTTATAAAATTTGAATAATTAAAAAGATAGTTTTTTTTTATCCATCATTAGTAATTTTGCTGTCTACAAACAACCAAGTTATTAATTTTCCGAAATATATCCATCTCCATATTGATTTTTTATTATTATTATTATCACTACCAAATATCAACATCAATGATCAATTATTAGAGTTAGGAGGGAGAAAAAAAATTATTAGAGTTACAAGGAAGAAAATTATATAAATTATCATGATTTCGTATAATGTTAGTAAATCTAAGTGAAACAATATTTGATTTACCCAGTTATAATTTGGTTTAAATGATTATACGAGATTTTATCTCAACCAATAAGTGATGGATTCTCGTTGCCATGCTAATATTATCTAATGAATGTTTGGTGGTTCTTTATGGCGTCAAGTCCCACTATTTTCCAGGGTCTATTGTATTTTTCTGTTTATCTGTGAGTCATATATTATTGTTTTTATTAAGCCTCGTGTATAGCTATTGTAATGCTTCTGAAATTCAGCCAGTATCCTTTTATTTATTTATTTTATAACGCTTGAAGTACCAATCTTGAAAGTTTTGCAGTTATTGTCATTTTCATGTTAAAAAGAGAGATCTCTTTTACTTTGTTCTTTGTATCTGCTTTGACCTTTTCATTTTAGAAGGTTTTGTTGTCTTTGTTCTTTCGCCATTCTATCTTGTAACTATGTTTCCCTCTGTGTTTGTAGTGATTTTTTAGATACTCAGTTTTGCATTACATTTCTCTGCATGATTTTGCTTAAATGTACGTTTGATCCTTGCAGGAAATAGATGAGTTATGTGATGAATGGGTTCCTGAACCCCTTATCCCATCAATAACAGAAGAGATACAGAATGAACCACCAGTGCTGGAAAGGTGATGAGAACTTTTAATTTTGGCTGAAAATTATTTTGCAGGGAATTTCCTAATTTACTATTTGGATTGCCCACTTGAAGTACTTTCTTCTTTAATACATGCAAGCTCTTAACTCTTGTGTAATAGTTTTTTTATTTATTTTTAAAATAATGAATTCCATAATTTACTGTCTTTCAATTTATTTAAATTTTACCTATCATTGGATTAGTTTGTGCAACTTCCCTTATTACAAATTTCATTTTATCCAGTGCTGCTGGACCACATACAGTTATCAAGGGAAAGGAAGTAGTGAATTTCGCTTCTGCAAATTATCTTGGATTGATAGGCCACGAGAAGTTACTTGTACGTGAGCAATTTTCCATTTGAAAATAGAATGTGCACAGATTCTTTGCATTTAAGAACTAGTTACAGTAATCTTTTTCATCAGGAATCGTGCACCCATGCATTGGAGAAATATGGTGTTGGTTCATGTGGTCCTCGTGGGTTTTATGGGACAATTGGTAAGATTGGGAACTGAATTAAAACTGATTTTGGGGCGGATCGCATTACATAACTTCTTTTTTAATTGTTTACAGATGTACACCTTGATTGTGAAGCCAGAATAGCAAAATTCTTAGGAACTCCAGACTCAATTCTGTATTCTTATGGACTTTCTACTATGTTTAGTGCAATTCCAGCCTTTTGTAAAAGAGGAGACGTCATTGTAGTGTGAGTACCCTATCTGCTGAATTCTTATTAAAGAACATAGTTGCTTAGTTTTTTTAGTTTCTTTTAATGTTATTATATGTTGCTTTTATTAGGCATTTGGTCATTCGTCGTATGCTGTCATTGATGATTGTTGTTTGGTCACCTTTATCGTTATGATATGGTTTGGTTTAATACTTCAGTTGACTGAAACTTTCAGGTAATTCGGATAAAATTGTCATTAATTCCTTTTCTCTTTTCTTTATTTTCTGGGCACAAGATGAACCTGTTTCATGTTTTTTTTTTACAGTTGTAAGAGAACTGAAATATAATGCATTTTAATATATTTTCCTAAGCTCTATCTCAAGTTCAATGGGATTTTTTTGTTAACTATTTTGGATGAATATGGAATAACGCTATTAGAAAGCTTGATGAATATTTTATTCCTTCCTTCTCTGAGTAGTTTTTTCATAAGCGTGGAACTGT